GCAGGGGGGAGCCGCGATCGACGGGCCCTGCTGGAAGCATCACTTCCAGCAGCTCCCATTGGCCTGGAGCAGTGAACCGCAGCCAGTGGGAGCCGCGATCGACCGGACCTGCTGGAAGCATCACTTCCAGCAGCTCCCATTGGCCTGGAGCAGTGAACCGCAGCCAGTGGGAGCCGCGATCGACCGGACCTGCTGGAAGCATCACTTCCAGCAGCTCCCATTGGCCTGGAGCAGCGAACTGCAGCCAGTGGGAGCTGCGATCAACAAGACCTGCGGACGGGGCAGGTAAACAAACCGGCCCACCCCGCCAGGGGCTTTCCCTGCACAAGCGGCGAAACAAGTTTGGGCAACACTGTACTACACAAAACCATGCTCAGTTTTGCCTCAGTACTGGACAAACCACCCCAAAAAAGGCTTCTCTGGCTTCAAACTGGCCTATGGGTGGTCTGGGGCCTGTTGCACTTGTCTCCTGCCACACAAAGCCCCCGGACAGGGTGTTTACAGGAGCCCCTCTGTCCCCAGCAGTGGGGCATGGAGTCACCGCACCATTCAGACGCACAGGGTTGGTCACCTCTCTCAGCTACCGCACCAGGCTCGCTGCAGACTCAGGCCTTGTTGCCAGCTATAATTGGGGGCTGGGAAACAGCACCTCTGCCCTCACCAGGGGACTCCAGGAGCTGAGGGCCTAGCCCTTAAGGCCCTGGGGATGGGGCTTCAAAGGACACTTACGCCTCCCCTCAGCCTGAGAGCGCGAGGCGGTAGCCCCCTCCCGTGATACAGGGCGGGAGGACGCACGCCTCGCGTGACGCACGTACCCCATTCTCAGGGGGGAGGCGATGCGCTCTCCAGTGTCACGTGACAGAGCACCGCCCCTCACGCCCATTTCCCACTGGAGAACGCTCTCGCCTGTCACGTGACAGCGGAAGCCCCTCCTCGCGGAAACGGCGACAAGGCCACTTGGGCGCTACCCTCCGTCACGTGACGGCGGAGCGGGCGGTCCCCTGGCGGGGGGGAGGAGATTGGGGCTCTCTGGGCTCGCCTCGTTCTCCTAATCTTTTCACACGGGGCGCCTGGTGGTGCGGGAGAGGAAGGCCAGAGCTTGCGCCGTCGCGGTAGGGACACTGAAGCGCCTCCCTCCCCCCCGGGCTTCAGGGAGGGGCCCGGGCGGCGCTGGTGCAGCTGGCCATGTCCATGGAGGACCCCTTCTTTGTGGTGAAAGGGTGAGTGGGGGAGGGGCAGGGTAAATGAGGGGGGGGTGAGGGTAACTGGCGGGGGCAGGGTTAATGAGGGAGCGGGAGTGGAGGTGGGGGTAGGGTTAATGAGGGGGTGGGGGAGGGTTAATGAAGGTGAGGGTAATTGACGGGGGGAGGGTTAATAAGGGGGTGAGGGGAGGGTTAATGAAGGTGAGGGTAATTGACGGGGGCAGGGTTAATGAGGGGCTGAGAGGAGGGTTAATGAGGGGGTGAGGAGGTGGGGGCAGGGTTAATGAAGGTGAGGGTAACTGACAGGGGAAGAGTTAATGTTGGGGGGGTGAGTGGAGGGGGGGCAGGGTTAATGGGGGTGAGGTGGGGTAACTGGTAGAGGTAGAGTTAATGAGGGGGGTGACTGTCAGGGGTGGTGTGTGGGGGGGGGCTAGTGGCAGGTTAGTAGAGAAGATGGGAGAGATCAATGGAGGTGAATGGGAAGGGGTGGGGGTTATACGTTTTATGACATGTGAGAATCTCTGGGGCAGAGGAATTCCCTTTTTTCCCCCCACTCCCATGGAATCCCCCACTACTTAGTCTTTCTGTCCAAAGAGAAACGAACTTCCTTGTAAGTGCTTCTGGCCCCACCTGCCTCATGCTCTGCTCCAAGGGTGTATGTGGGATGGGTGACCACATTTCCAGCACCTGATCTGCTCCCATTTAGGTAGAATGGACTATGCCATAGTCCACTAGGGGTTGTATGTACTTGAATAAAATTGCCAATTAAAATGGGGATAGCTAATATTTGTGAAACATAGACTAGTTTTCCACAAACATTTTTTCCAGGAGACAAGTGTTTGTGATGTCTAGGCTGAGCAATAGAGTATACCAGAAATGTTTAACTTAGAGCAAATGTGTGGGGACTATCCAGACTAGCCTTTATAAACCTGTTACCTATCTTGAGTTAATAGGCAATCAGTTAAACTCAGGGTAAAAAAAATAAATCTCCTACATACACAAACAATAGTGGTTAGAGAATGAGATGGGGGGGGGGGAGAGTATTTCTTCATTGCAGAGTTAACTCAGGTGATCATTATTTGGGTGTGACCACTTGAGTTGGCCTAGCTCTAGTTAGAGCAGCAAAACTCTACAGTCCTGTGAACCTAGGCAGGCATTTTGAGGGGAAAACAGCTTTACAAATTTTGGAACCCAGCCTACCACTGAGAGACAGTGGACTGGCTCATGAGTTGCCAGTTCATTGTAGGTATATAGTGTTCCCACAAGTGTGGCATTGAAGGGTTTGCATGCATTTATTGTACATATGGCTGGCCTTGCATAGAGAGAATATTTTATTTGAGATAAGTGGAGACGGGCTGGGGGGGAAAAATCCTCTATCCCAGTGGTTCTCAACCAGGGGTATGCATACCTCTGAGGGTACACAGAGGTCTTCCAGGGGTACATCAGTTCAGTTAGATATTTGCCTAGTTTTACAACAGACTACATAAAAAGCATGAATAAAATCAGTACAAACTAAAATTTCATATGACTTGTTGATACTTCTGCATATACTATACACTGAAGTGTGTGTGTGTGTATATGTGTGTGTGTGTGTGTGTATATATATATATATATATATATATATATATATATATATATATACTACTACTA